GTGTTAGCATGTCTTGTAGGCTATTACCCATACTGCTGGTGTATACTCCCTCCTTTATTATCACACTCAGAGCTTTAAGTGTAGTATTGGTTTGTAGAATAGTAAATAGTTCAATAGCACTCTCAGCTGTGTCTAGTGGTAAAGTAAGTGTATGTAGACTGGGATGAGAGAGAAATAGAAGATGTGGTGGGTATGGTTCATGTAGTATCAGACAGTGTAATCCTTTGATATGTGGAAGGAGTAATGGTGTCAAATCGCTACAAATTTCAAGCTGTATTTGTGAACCAAAAATCAATGTTATTGTTTGAATATGACCATATCTCAGCCATTTTTCTGTCTCTAATCTAAGAGCTGTCAATGGTATATTCACCTCTATTATATTCAGTGATGATGGTAGGAGTACATCCAGTGAAAGAGCTTGTATTGTGTTATTTTCCTTTAGTAACTGCTCTAATAGTCCATTGGGTAGAGGAAGAGGAGGATCAATACTTTGATAACCAGATACATCATTGAAATGCGAATTATTTAGTGTCAATGATGTTAATGTTTTGTTTTTTATTATGCCTCTAATGACACTGATAATTGCTCTTGTTATTTTCTCATCTTCATTATACTGAATATTCATTTCTTCTAGCATTGAATTCATTTCTATACATTTCTCAAGTTCAGTGTATTTGTCAGTGTCTGTGGAGTCAACTGGTGCATGTAGTCCAAGTCTTTCAATAGCAACAACACACAATCTACGTATCATTATTAAGTGCAGTATCTTTAATTGAGGAAGATTGAGCAACTCTAGCAATACAAGACACGAAATATATTGACCTTTTGATAGTATTACCATAAGATAGCACTCCTGAATATTGTATAGTTGTAATAATTTGTGTATTAACTCACCAGTGGGGTAATACAACCCTACCTCCAGTCTCTTACACTGGATTTGCTGTGAGTTATTAGTTAGTTCAGCAATGAAGACTGATAGCTCATGATTGTATAGATGTCTGAGGTGCAAGTGATTCCATGTTGTGTTGGAATTGTTTATACAATAGCTGAAACACAACCAGTCAAACAATGATAATGATACTCTATCCCAATCCAGACACAGTGAGTGGTTCTTGATGGATTGTGCTAATACTTGACATAATGTTGTGTTCTGTGATTCATACAGGAGTTGAAAAAGAAGAATGGGAACATCAGCAAAATTATCTGATTTGATATGAACATCATTTTTTAGCTCATTCAATCTATGCTCAGGATTCTGATAGAAGCTAGAAAGATGACAAGTCTCAAATCCAAACAATGGCTCCCTCTTACACTGTAAGTCAAGTTGTTGTATATTAAAATACTGTTGATAGCTCTCATGTTCAAGGTGAGTTAGACCTGCCACAAATCTCAGACACATTCGAAAGTGATCATCATCAAAGTGATCCTTAAACACTTCCTCTGTCTTCTTATCATGCTTAGCTATCCACCATGCAGCTAGAAATTCCTGTATAGTCAAGTGAAGGAACTGATACTTCTTCTCGCCATATTCTATGAATGTTGTCATCAATCCAAGATAGTCTTCCTTGACTGCCTCACTCGGTGACTGTAGTTGATGTGAAGAGAATGTCATTCTTGTATTAGTCAGGTTAGTATAAGCTAGTTGACACATCTCTTGTAAAGGTTTAACTAATTGTGATGGTAATGAAGAAAGACTACCTAAACTATATGGGTCAATGTCATGTCTTGGTTTTATTTCCACATGTCTTCTGATAGTTTGTAGGATAAAGTTCTCATAGAGTTGAGTGAGTGTTGTTGGTAAATGTCCTCCTTCCTTACAATAAACTAAGATGACCATGGAACAGACTAGTGGTACATAACACAATGATTGGACATCATTTCGTACTTCAAGATCATTAATGAGTTTCACTGCTAGTTGTGAGTCCTTATCTATTGGCAATTCAACCTCATCATCCCTTTCAGAATAGTATTGAATAATATTTTGTGCTAGTTTTGTATCTTTTTGAAGTGTTTGTATAATTACTGTTGATATTTCTTTCTTAAAAAAACCAATGACCTGAATGTGTCTACTGAGAGTATCCATTTTCAAAAGTGAAGAGGAGGCATAGCTACGAGAGGTAACAATTACTGAACATTGGTCTAACTGCTTTCTATGAATGATTCTAGCAGCTAATGAAGACTGCCTGAGTTGTTCACTTAGTTCATCCCAACCATCAAAAATTATCAGTAATCCTTCTCCATTCCTCTTCTCAAACCATTCAGCTACCATTGGAACTTCATAACGTTGATGCCCAAACAGGTCAGCTAGTGTAGTAGCTTCAGCTATCTTGCTATCTCTTAAAGGACAGTAAAGTACCAAGTCATACTGTTGGTGTACAAGTGTTCCATTAGACCACATGTTTAACAGTTTACGACAGAGTGTGGTTTTGCCAATACCAGGAGGACCATCTATTATTACTCTGAGAGACAGAGAACTATCTGTGGGTTGGAGGACATCTTCAACACTTATCTCTTCGTTTTCAGTTAGTTCAACTATTTTATCAACTTTTCCTCTTAGCATATGCCCAGCTGATTTCGCTTGTGTGCTGGAGTCTTGTTTTTCCACTAGTGCTAGTCTTCCGAAGAAATGTTTCCCAATTCTTGGTGGCCAGTCTGTAGCAACAATAGGTTGTTCTTTGTAGAGTTGTCTCATATTGTCAGCATATCCTTGAACATCATATGGTGGACGGCCAAATGTAGTTCGTATCTTGTCAGTAATAATTTTCCATTTGCTACTGGTTGGCTCAGGTATAGGCTGACCTAATGTATTGAGATATAATGACTATTTTGATCACTGATAATGTACACACACACACACTCACCTAACTGGTGTAATATAGAGGCAGCAATATCTGTTAGTGTATAATGATGTTGGTTTATTAATACATGACATATATCAATAAGATACTGCTTTGAATTGAGAGAGGATTCCAATTGTCGTTGTATCACAGATACTAATTGACTTGATTTCCTATAATCAGATATTCCTGTTGCAGTTTGTACATACTCTTTAGTATCCAGTGGTATCAGTCCTTTAGCATACAGTGCATCAGTTACTCTGTAAAGGTTAGTAGTAATAACATCAGTGATTACATCAGAATGAGTCCTTAAAATATCCTTTGGATTACCTGCAGTAGTGTATCAGTTAATGAGTGTTGTATTAGTGTATGTTTACCTGATGTAGTACTAGTAGTGACAGGTTTATTAATTACAGAAACTGATGATGATACAGTAAATACTACTGGTACAGTACTAGTAGGAGCATCAGTATTACCTATTATACATTTAATATAATTATTAATATATAAATACATGATCATACCTCCTGTACATTGGTGTACTTGTAACTGATCATTAATAGTTTGTAATAAATTGATCTCTTCTCTTTTAGTCAATGCATTGAGTACATCTCTCCATGTTGCTGCAGGATATGTATTCAACCATTTTGAAAATAAAGCTAGCTTTTGATGTTCAGGATTCACTTGTTCAATTATTGTAATTTCAAGTTGTGCTATTCCAGGTAAGAGAAGACCAAATGATTGCCAGTCAACAAGTGGTTCAAGCCATTGAAGTAATAGGAAAATATCAGGCTCATCATCAATCATAGGACCAGGATTGAGTTCAACATCTCCTGATAAGAGGAGGAGCATACGTAGACAAACAATCAAATAGAGATCATTGTAAATCAGGTTAGAACTGCTGCCTCCAGGTAAGACTACTGACTGTAGGTAATTCGTATCAGTAACAGTAACACCAGTAGTACATTGTACTTGGTAGCAGTTACCTAATATAAAATACCAGTAATTATACAAGTACAAAGTTGCAATTGTTGTTTACCTGCTAGAGGAATCATCAAGATGTGTCTTAATAAAGAGAGAGAGTGAAAGAGGAGGAGTAAAGCAATAAGAGACAGAGCTGCTGGCAGTTTAGATGTTTTCTCTCCTGATGTAGTACTGCCTGACTTGCTGTCTACTGCAGCTTTGAATGAGTGAGAGTGGCGGCCATTAGCTGGTCTACTGGAGGCAGCTTGACAGTAGTTCCACAGTCCAATACTTGCTCTCCATTGAGAGACATCAATCATCTTGTAAGACAGTTCCTTGCCCTTGATAAAAGTAACCCTTAAGAACAGATCAAAGAACACACCACAAAAGTGGGCACAAGTCTCCTTATAAGGGCATTGGCAAAGAGTGCATAATACTACTCCAAAGGTAACAGGTGGCATCTTAAAGAAGCTTTTGAGCCTCAAGAGCTTTTGTGTAACATCTGCTTGTTAGATCAAAAATTAATAGACCAGTCTAGTGCACACATATATAAGATATGTTACCAAAGTATCAGTTAGAGTCTATAAGCTGATAATTTTGTAACATATTTTATATACATGTGTGTGTGTACCATAGACTGGTCATTAGAGTATATTAGATATATTATAGGTCTGTCTAAACATCACTTTATTTGCAATAGCATACATTGTAAGTATTGTACATGATACATAGTGAGCAGCTTGGAGTACAATAAGTGGGCTGAACTATCATTGAATTACCGTACAGCAGGAAATATTTGCGGGGAATTAAATTTTGCGAGTTTGCGATTCCATTTAAAGCGCAAAATTTAAATCCGCAAAATAATGAATTCATGCATGACCACAGTAGATAATGCTACAATAACTGTCAAAACTGCAAATATTTAATCCGCAAACCAGGTTATTTTTAAGGATTCGCAAAATTTTTCTCCGCAAAATTAACCAGCTGTACGGTATATTCATGGATCATTATCAATTTTATGTGAAAGTGATTCTCTACTACATTGTTACCATTATTATGACCAAATAAGGTCATTTCACACAATGAAGGCACACTTCACTATAAATTACATCTATACAATCACAGAAGAAAATTCCATTGAATAGAAGTATGAAACAATCAAACTGATGTAACACAATCAATAATAATTATCGTACACATACAAAAAGTAATAATTAAATAAATGAAATAAAATGATTATACACACAGAGTCACACAGTGTATTTACTGTCATTATAATGTTATTATTAATTCTTTATTTTCCTTGCAAACAATCTTGTATAAACACCATCTAATAATAAATGAAAATAATGATATTATCAATAGATTGATGTGGGCATTAGTGAATAGTACTGTAAAAACTGTAAAAATTCTATGTAAATTTATCATTGTTACTAGTTGTTACTATTAATAGTACCAGTAATAGTGTTACTATTAATAGTATGAGGTACTTACTGTCTCCTTGAGTGAATTCAACTCGTCTCACTTGATCTCTATCAACTTTATAATCAATACTAATGGAGGAAAGAGAGAGGGAGGGGTAAAGGAGGAGGGAGGGACAGAAGAGGATAAAAGAGAGAAAGAAAGGAAAAAGGGAGAGAGAGGGAGGGAAGATGAAATAAGAGAAGGAGCAATTCAAACAAACACAATAACTAAAGACAACATGTAGAGGCATATATACATGTATGTTATTACATGTACCATATTTCCTTGTGGGAATTCCTACTCTTAATAAATGTCCATACTTGTTTAAATGTCTATGCCACACACACACACACACACACCTTCCACTTGACACTGGTACATGCAACAGACAGATGACTTATCATTAAGGAATTATTAATTGTCTACTAAATGGGTCTTTATAAGAAATAAGTGTCTAGGCATTTCCACAAGGAAATACATTATTTATTTATTTATTTATTATTGTTTACCTGTTCTGTAGTGATATATTCAATTCTTGTTTTGTCATGTCAAAGTAAGCAATCCTTAGTGACGTCACTATCTCAGTCTTCCTCCTAATAAATTTAATAATAAATTAATAATAATAATAGAGACAAGCTATGGCGTTGTTTGATGTGCGTGTCTTGGACACTGACGCTAAGTCTTATCTCCATCGTTCACCACAGTCAATAGAGGAAGAAGAGGAAGTATTTTGCTGCCTGTGCTGATAGACATGTTAGTTTCACCCCTCTATGTTTTTCTGTTGATGGGCTAATGGGGACTGAAGCAAAGTCATTTTTGGATAGATTGGGTGATTTTCTTGCTGTCAAATGGGGAAGGCCTTATAGTATTATAATTCATTGGTTAAGAGTAAGACTGAGTTTGGCACTACTGAGGGCCACTGATTTATGTGTGCGTGGCACCAGATGTAAGTTTCGCTCAGCGAATATTGAAGACGGTGCTCCTTTACATCCCTCAATGACATTCTATTCCTAACTTAATTATATTATTTTCCCCAACTTATTTCATTATATATTTCAAATTTTATTGTATTATATTTTATTTTATTATTGTTGGTAATAAAAAAAAAATAATAATAATAATAATAGTAAATAACAAACTTCATGTACATAATCCCCTTTTTGATTTGCCTTAAAGCCACTTATTTTTAAGTAGACAAATATTTGCGATTTGTTAATAGTATTGATTTAATGTGTACTAATATTTTGCGATTTTGCTCATTTTTTCAATTAATAACTATTAATAAATGTGAGTACTAATTTTTGCGATTTTTAAGCAACTCGCAAAAAAACACAAAAATTAGTACTCGCAAATAATAGTGGCCTTAAGGTATTTAGGTATACTATAGTATAGGGACATTGGCGGGGCCAAATTTTGCCAAAAATGAAAAGTAGAAAAATATCAATTTTTATAATTTTTCCTGATACATATACATCTGCTTATGTTGCGTAGAAATTTTGAGCTGATTCCAATCAAAATTGGATTTTTTTTACAAATTTTTAAAGTTAATCAAAAATTGGACAAAAGTCCCTGTACTAAAGTACAGGGTCATTGGCCGAATTGTGCCAAAAATAAAAAGTAGAAATTCTCAATTTTTATAATTTTTACTGATGCACATTATGTGTACTTATGCTGTGTAACAAATTTGAGCTGATTCTGATCAAAATTGAATTTTTTTACAAATTTTTAAAGTCACTTAAAAATCCCTGTACTGAAGTACAGGCAACATTAATTTTCATGAAAAATGACATTGTACAGTGACACACAGTTCAATGTGTATGTGAGTATATAGTGATAAAGAAGATCCTTCTTTCTTTCTCTCTCTCTCTCTCTACTTCTCTCCTTTCTACCATTCTCTGGCCATTATTAAAATCATATTAAATCATTAATAAAATACTTACGCGCTAATGAAGAGCCTGTCCTGATCAGCAGGTACATGTATAATGAAGAAGTTATCAGGTAGGAGACTAGCACTAATGTGACTCACATCAGCTAATGATACTCTGTGCTGTACCTTTATTGAATTAACTTCCAATAGATACAAACTACCATCTATTAATATAATTAATAAAATTAATTATATTAATTAACTCATATTAATTGTAAATTGACAAATTTTTGAGGCTACATGTAGGCCAATAACACATTTAAATTGCTAGTATCATGACTTAAAAGCTATTTTTAAAATTAAGGATTTTTAAAATGATACTGTATAGCTCCAAATTTTCGTTGGTCAAAATTTTTGTCAGTTAGGTATTTTTACTTGACAAAAATTTTAACTGACAAATTTTTTGTTCTATGTGAGTATGCAAATTAATTACAAAAATGACGAAAGTTTTACTGACGAAAATTAATTTTAACAGAAATTAAGATTTTGAAGGACAAAATTTGGAGCTATATGGTATTTCTCCAACCTGATACCCATGGCCCTAAGCCACACCCCAAACCCCACCCCTCCTATAACTGACCGGTTATCATCATACACCATTCCCTCAGTCGTCCTCTTCTGCTAACTTTAACAACAACATCTGAGAACATCACCATATTCTCACCTAAAAACAACAACAACAACAACAACAATGATAATGAAGTTTTATTTACATTATTTTACCTCTATGTCACATGTTTTATTACATGTACGTCAATTTATCACAAAAATATGAAATTATGACAAAATGCAAGTTTCTCAAATCGCAGTCAAAATGCTCCATAATAATTTTATACACAACATATTCATATTCAATAATGAATTACAAACAATACACTTCATTAATAGACCTCTCGAGGTGAGAATGAATTACGTCACAAGAGTAAATACGGCAGTGGGTGTGGTAGAGAAGGAAATAAATTCCATGGACGGCAACTTTCTATGGTGAACCAATGAGCAAAAGCAGAAAGCAAGCTATAGTAAAGAATCTGCTGCACATTGCACCAAATCTGTTTTATGAGATGCTTGGTAGCACCTATTCTTTCTTCCAACCAACTTTTGTAGCTTGAAAGAGTTCCAGACCTCCTAGACAAATCATTTTTATAGTTTACTCCATTCCTTCTTCATTGAATCTTGCCGTCCAAAATGGCGGCCAATTATTACGCGTAGGTGGATACTGTAACTCAAAATAATGATATTCATGAACTTAGTCATTCACAGCTCGAGAGGTCTATAACTGTATGTACATGTACCATTAAAACCATACCGTAAAGCAGGGAAATTTTTGAGGGACTAAAATTTGGCAAATTGCTAAATTTTGGTGATTGGCAAATTTTAATTTGGCAAATTAGTGGCCACGTGCCATTGAGCATGCGTATAATGGCTCAGAATGGCGAATTTTATTTTGGCAAATGGCTATCAAAAGGCAAAATTCACCAAATTTAATTCCCTCTAAAATTTTCCGATATATGGTACATTGTAACACACCAAAATAGTCAATAGTACATTATGATTGATGATGATACCGTTTTTATTCAGGATAGCTGTGATTTTAGGATTGTCCGCCAGCTCCAGTTTATCAGATACGAAGCTTTTCATGTCAGAGGATCTCCTCCTCACTTTGGTTGCCCACCTCTGCTGGTGAGTAACGAACTGATCCTCTCTCTCTTGAACGTCTTCTTCTTCCGTTAGGGTAGCCATTTTGCTAGAATAGACACAGTGACACACCCTCTTCAATTTAATTAATTAGCACTTTAATATAACAGTCATAAAAATTTTGTTTTTATTTTATTTTTGACCTATGTTCACACATCTTGTAAAACTTAACTAAAAAATAAAAGCATAAAAATTATTGTAATCACTAAAAAAATTCCAAATTGCAAATCTATTCTATTGTCCACTTCTGCACTTCATTGTTCACTTCGAAACCTATTATAATAATGACGTAATTCACTTGATCAGCAAAAATCATCATCAATACCTTTTAATTTTAGCTTTCAAATCCTCATCTACAGGCTCACTATTCTGTCTTTTAGCATAAACTGTTTCTAATGCATCTTTGAAAGTAGGTTTAAGTTTACTCAAATTAAAATATTCCCACAAAGCCGCTGTGACGGTTGCATCATCATCACAATAATACCAAAGAACTGCAGTTTCTTGAAATTCTCCATGAGCAGGAAGGAATCTAGAAACCTTAAATGTGCATAGATCTATAATTAATTTTGCACTTTCATTTCTCTTACTTCATCCTTATGAAGATGAAACGGATAAGTTGAATACATTTTGCCATAAAAGTAATGAAATTGTATTGGGTCATCTTCTCCCATTCCATAATTAAATTTTGTGTCCTAAAAATATAGTAATGAGAAGAGAAAAAATATTTGCTTCTCACAATTGACTTTAAATTGTTTTTAATTTCTTCACTTGTGATTTCATTTATAGTTTTAGCAACACAAATTGCTATATCTTCTTTTTTAAGTTTAGGATCCTGATGGCGTCCAACAAACTTCCATATTTTTCTTTCCTTGATTTTCAGAAAATAATCCTGTGACCAAGATTCATGTAGCTAGCTAGATCCAGTAGTTACTTTAAAAATTTACATACCCTTGCTTTCTTATTAGCTCCATCAGCTGCAGTTATTTGCTAAAGTGGGAGCAAAAAATATTTTAAGTGATTGGAAACTTACTATTTTCACATGATTGTTTTCGGTTTTCTTCATTATAAAATCTTCAATTGTATCATCAAGCAATTGAAAGGAATCCTTATATTCCCAACATTCAAGTAATGGTCTACCATTGACTCGAATATATTTGTTAGCTTTAACTAATGCAAGTAGCATCCTGTTACATAAAAATAATCTTTAAAAGCATTATTATATTATTGCTAACATCTCCTGTATGACTGCAACTGTCTTGTGCCAGTACACAGTGCGGTGCAGCAGGTTCCTTGTGTGAAATAGCTCATAAAGATTGAGTGCATCCTTAAAACAATAATACAATGCATGAATTGTATTAAAAGGTATAACAATACTTTTTCTCTAGAGCAGATATGATGAAATCCATCATCACATTCCAAAATTTTAGCAGTTTGTGTATACCGCCTGTAATTGAATAGTGTTACATCACAAAATTGTGATAACTGTACCTCCAATCAAAATTGTTAGGTAGTCCCACACCACGGGCATCACGGGCAAAGTAGTCCATTTTATCAACATCAATACCAGTGAATCCATTAGCAACAATCTAGAAGTGTCATTAAAACTCGTGTTTTTTTAAATAATATAACTGACTTCAAACAAATAAGACTTCCTTTTATATGTCCCTCCTTCAGGTGTTTCCGTCTCCCAAAAATTATCAATTTTGTCTTCATTCTCCTTACACTTTTTTTGACACAATTCATACTTTTTTGTGACTTTTTCATACTCCTCTGTATCATTTTCAGAATTTTTAATTTTCTCTTCCAACTCCTTCTTTTCTTCTTCATGCTCCTTTTTTTCTTCTTTATATTCCTAAATATTTTTAAAATTACAAAGGAGGCATTAACTTACCTTAAAAATTTCAGAAAATTTGATCATGTTTTGAACAAGTTTAATGTATTGTTTCCAAGTATTTTCTTGTTTTTGATCAGCAGCATTTTTTGGAAAAAATTCTTTTTTAACAACAACCATGACATCTTGGATTAATTCAGCAGATCTATACTCATGTTTTCTTTCATTTTTCTAATTGTTATTTACTATTGATAAAACTGAAAATTTAGACATACTTACTTTTAGCTTCTCTGGGTTCTCTTTTTCTAAATGTCTCTTCACTGCAAAATCATAAAGATGTGAGTAAGGTCCGTGGCCTGTATAGAGGAACATTGATACATTTGAAGCACCTCATTATTAACTCACCTAGATCATGACACAGAGCAGCAATTTGAATACACTTCTTTTCATTGGGGGTTATAATATTTTGTTGATTTTTGTTTAATGCATCAACTAATTGACTAGCAATATAACATACCCTGTCAGAAAATAACTAAAATTATACTTTATGTAGTATTAACTTTACCCAATTGAGTGTTCAAATCTTGTATGAGTAGCTCCAGGATATACGTAACACACACCACCTAAAAAGTGAGATATACATGTATTAATGCTAAGTACATGTCAGTAGTCTACAACAAAATGCTTATATATAAACAGTTTACCTAATTGCTTGATCTTCCTCAGTCTCTGGAATTCTGGTCTATCAATAATCTTAAACAAATATTTATCAAGTTGTATGGATCCATTAACAGGATCCATTATTGTACCAAACTCCACTGGTGGTGTAGCCATCCTTGCTTTAGTGCTTCCCTTGGCACAACAAGCTACTCACCGATACATTTACTCATCACAACAGTGAATCCTTATAAGGAGATGTTATGAGTAAACTGAGGCTGTTTGAATTTGAAATTACAATAACACGTAAAGTGATGTTGATGCACATCACCATGTAAACAAGGCTTTGTTGTAGAACCAGGTACAGCTCAACATATATGCGCATGCAGATTGCAGTTACAGTAACAAATGTAAAATTTACTTCAAATATAAAAATACAAAAGAATCAATGAGTTATAAACTATTTTCTTATTACTATAATGTATATAAAACTTGCCAGTTGCAACCATTAAAATTCTCATTGGCTTTCTTTGCTCCTATAGCTATACACATATACAATAATGTTATTAATAGTTTTTATTTTACCTTTCAATAATTTTTTGAAAGTGTTCCAAATGGTCATCACCAGCATAATTTCTTTCTTCTTTATACAATTTTCCTTTTCTGGCATAGCTTCCTTCCAAAGCACTTTTGAATTCAGTTGGAAGTTTATGTGTGTTTAAACACTCCCACAAAGATCTTGCAATTGCTTTAGTTTCATCATCATGATCATCTTTCATATCATAATACCAAAACACTTCCTCTTCTTCAAAATTAGATGGAAGGATTTTGGATACCTGTATTAAAAGAATCATCATCTTTTGAATATAATAGATAGTCTCTCACTTACCTCTTCTTTCTCAATATGAAAAGGATGCTGAGGATAAAACTTCCCATAAAAGAAATGGGGTTGAATGGGATCTTTACTCCCTTTTCCATAACTGAATTTCACAGGCTATAAAACAATACTTTTGAGGCTACTACTGACAGCTATCTCTTACTAATGGTATTATTTTTTCTTTAATCTTTTTAACTTCTGATTTTTCTTTAGCAGCACATATAGCAATGTCTTCATGCTTCCAGTCCTTCCACTTCTTCCAGTCTGTATCATCAAGCTTTGCTTTATTTGTACGCCCTAAAAATTTTGGTAGCTTTCTGTCTCTTATATCAATAAAATATTTCTGAAATGAATAAAATTAATTACAAAATTGTTAAAATTTTGCTTACTCTTGGACTAGTTTCATCAGTGCTGTCAGCTTTTTTTATGCACTATAATGTAAGTATAGTGTATAATATAATTTTTAAAAATATTGAATTACTAGTTGCTGAAGTTGCTGAGATTCAGTTGTTTCGCTGTCATCAGAGGATTGCATAGGCTCTGTAATCACATGTACTTCCTTCATTATAAAATCTTCAATTGAATCATCAATCAAAAGAAAAGCATCCATGTTTTGCCAACATTTTAGAAGTGGATAAGATTCTATTCCATCATCTTTTCCTTTGACTTCAACTTTGATGGTAGCATTTTGTAAAGCTTTCTTGATTCTGTAATACAGTACAAGAATAATACTTGAGGAAGAATTTCTTACAAATCTTCCACTATAACTACAGTCTTGTGCCTGTACACAGAGCGATAAAGAACATTTCTTGTGTGAAACAACTCATAAAGTGATAAGGCATCCTACAAAATGGTACCAATACATGCCATAATACTTATTTAAATAATCTTATTACTTTATCTCTTGAACATATATGGTGAAAGCCATCCTCATCACACTTAATGATTTTTGCTGTTTGAGTGAAGCGTCTACACAGATAGAGTATGTCAGCTGTTGACATTCCAGTATATGTATGAATACCTCCAATCAAAACTGTTAGGCAGTCCTACACTACGGGCATCACGGGCAAAGTAGTCCATTTTGTCAACATCAATACCAGTGATTCTATTAGCAACAATCTATTGATAAATAAATGAATAAAATGAATGAATGAATGACTACATAAGACAGCCAGCCACATGATTAATTAATTTTTCCCTGCAAGAGCCAAAAAGCAATGCAACAAATACTTACTTACCTCAAAAAGAAAAGCTTTGTCCTTATATGTTTTGCCACTAGGTAGTTCAATTGGCCAAAATTTTTCCTTGGTCTCTACATCATTCAGATCCCTCTTTTATACCAAAATCAAAAATATAATACAATGATTCATTAATTCCACATGCAAACAAACAAGTAGCTATACTTCAGAAAATGTAATCATATGCTGAATAAGCCGAATATAAGAGTCCTTATCTTTTTCCAGTTCTTCAAATGTGAGCTTGTCCATCAAACGTTTGACAATTAATGCTGATCTATATTTGTGTTTTGCTTTCTGTGTATTTATTATGGACGAATATCCAAGTATAATAATAATTTACCTTTTGGTAATTCTTTTTTCTCCACATAAGAGTCCACATTCTTATTGTCACCATATTCATCTTCTTTTGATGTTATAAACTCTTTCATTTCCTTAAGTCCATTAGGCTTTGTTTTTAATTCCTTGTAATATTCTTTGACAGCAAAATCATAAACATGTGAGAAAGGTCCATGCCCTAAGCATTAAATGAATTTAAAGACAATGTGTTGATACATACCAATGTCATGACACAATGCAGCAATCTGTACACACATCTTCTCTTCTTGTGTGAACCATTTAGATAGGTTTTCCTCGTCTGGAGGACGGTGCTTGTTTAAGGCATCAACCAGTTGGCCAGCAATATAACAAACACTATTATACAAAATATATGCATGCATAATTTATCATATATTACCCAATAGAATGCTCAAATCTTGTGTGAACACCACCAGGATACACATAATATACTCCACCTAAAAACATAAGTACATGTAATGAGAAATGACTCAGTACCAGTAGTATTATTATAGTTTAGACTCACCAAATTGCTTGATCTTCCTTAGTCTCTGGAATTCTGGTCTATCAATAATCTTAAACAAATATTTATCAAGTTGTATGGATCCATGGACAGGATCCATTATGGTACCAAACTCTACTGGT